ACATCAGGGCCGAGCCAGTGGGGCCGTGACATCCGGCCTAAGTCCCCTCCCTGGCTGAGGTTTAGGGAAGGGGCCTAAGACACAAGATGGGAGAAGTAGCTCCGTGGGCTCCCTTGTGGGGAGGGGCGGGGGAGGGGCAGCAGTGCTGGGAGGGAACCTGTCACAGCCTGAGCCCCAGCACCCGCTGCGTGGAGGCTGTGTGGGCACACGGAGGCAGGGAGGAGGTGTAGGTGACGAGTGCAGTCAACCTGAGGTTGTGTGTCACTTGGTCCTAGGTGGTGACAAACGTGGTCACCCTGAGGTTGGGTGGCCCTCAGAAAGTACACTCCCGCCTCTCACAGCACTGGTTTTCCTCAGATATCCATTGAGGAGCTGGAGCAGAATCTGGTCATCAAGGTGAACAAGGAGTCTGTTATGAAGATCGTGGTGGCCGGGGATCTGTTTCAGCAGGACAGAGGCCTGTACCACCTGAACCTCACTGTGGGAGGCATTCCCTTCAAGGAGAAAGACCTCGTCCAGCCTGTAAGTGCCGTCCTGAGTCCCTGGGGTCAGAACCTGGGATCAGTCTGAAGACGAGGTTTAGCTGTGAGCCACCATGTGTTTAGCCTTAACCAGGTTTGGCGAAGGACCCAGAAAGGTAAAGTTTTCCCAGCAGTTAACAAGCAGCGGGTGCAGCGTGTGTCATGAACCTCACCACCTCCCTCTATGAGACACATTTGAGTTTTCACTGAATTGATAATAAAAATGTCTATTTTTGCAGTGGAGATAAAACACAATGAAATTATTCTTTAACAAAAAGAGCAATCAACTTTTTTGGACAATTCCCAAGAACATTTGGGTTGTTAACCCTGCCGGGATTTCCGTAGGGGAAAAAGACCCAGTGGGGAGGTCAGTACTGGTCATTTTCAAAGTCCTGCCCTTTCTCACCCTTCCCCGTGCCACATGCCTTTGCCCCCATCTGTGTTCCTCCCATTTCCCAGCATGCTGATGTCCATGGCCAGAATCTTTGACATTGTGATGACGATATCCATGCCCGATATGAAAATGAGTCATGAGTATGTTGGTGTTCCAAACAGTTGGTGGTATTGGCACTACCTTCCCTCGGGGGGTAGAGAAGGGATGTCCTGCCCATGACCTCCAGGATCAGACTTCTGTTCCAGGGCTCCCCTCCCATAGTTACCATGGACACCCTTACGCCTCCTCATTTCTCAGAGAAAAACTATGGTGCCCAGATTTGCTCAAAACCATACAGAAAGTGGATGGTCGGGCAAGAATCAGTATTTCCAGCCCCCGGACTTACCTCTGTGGGTGCTTTTTGCGTGCTGAGTAAGAATCCCAGGCACACCTGCTGTGTAAGTGTTGCCTGGGCCCATATCCCCTCAGTATGCGGTCAGTGCTCTTCACTCCATTTCATGAGTGGGAACACCCAGTGCAGACAGAGCAGGTGGGGTTCACTACATGAAACGTGGTCTCCTTATCCTGCGTGGAAAGAGGACTCACAGTATGTGCTACACTCAAAGGTGTCCCGCAGGGAGTCATAGGTCAAGCACAGTGTCCTTTGTGAAATAGCCTCCACGAGGAGGATTTGTCCATCTTGCAGATTTCCAAAAGCCCGAGCCCAGAGGGTAGCCCATTCATCTGACGAGGCTGGCACCAGCCACACCAGTCATGTGGACTCTCATCATGGCATCTCCAAGGAAGCCACTGGGATCTCTCTGTCTTTCCAGATAAACCCCCGCCTGGATGGCTGTATGAGGAGCTGGAACTTGGTGAACGGTGAAGATACCACCATCCAAGAAACAGTGAAACTGAACACGAAAATGCAGTGCTTCTCCGTGACAGAGAAAGGGTCCTTCTACCCCGGGAATGGATTTGCTTTCTACAGCCTCAACTATGGTAAGTCTCGGCTCCTCAGTGGGGATGGCTGTGACTGTACTTTAAGCCAGTGTACCCTAAGCAATAGGAAAACCGAGGAACAGCTTCTTACTGAGGATGACAGTGTCAGGGATACGCTGGGCCCACCGTGGGCTGTGGGGCAGAGGCAGTGGGGTGAGTTAGCCAGTGAGCAAGAAATGAGAGATGGAGAGAGGACAGCCACCCTGCTGGCTTTGTGGTGGCTGAGATGGGGAGGTGGGTAGGATAAGAAGGCTGTAAGAGGGCACTTTGCAGAAGGTTCTGAGACAAGACAAGCTTAGGTCTGTCCAGGTGCATGGAGAAGCTCCCAAAGCCGTACTTGACATTGCATTCACCACTGACTCATGAGGAGTGAAAAAGGGCCAGTACCTAAAAACCACAGTGTGGCTGCCTCAAGGACCCCAGTGCACTCAAGTTTTAAATAAGAGTGAGGAAGTGGAGAAGGAGGAGGGCTAGAAGCCGGTGGCCCAGTCCTGGAACACGGCCAGGAAGGCTGACGTTCTCAGAATTGAGGCTCACCAAACCAGTGTTGAAAGCCACAAAGAAGCTTTTCATTTATACCTGGAGGGGAGAAAAACCAAACAAACAAAACCATGCGCACGGAACCTGAAGATGATGTGCAATACCTACACCTAGCGGGAGGAAGGCAGGAGACAGGCAGACCAGAGGGCAGGCAGGTGTGGCGGGCGGGGGGCCCTGAGCACCGTCTGCATGTATGCGGATGGTGAGGGGTTGGACCTGAGGTTGGTTGGGAATCCCTTGTCCATCAGTAGCGTTGTCTGGGAAGTGAGTGTAGCTGCAGAGGGTGGGCCCAGAGGCCCTCCTGGCTTCTGTAAAGCAGGGTCCTTGATTTCTTAAAACAAAACACAACACATCTGTCTCTCTCCTTTTATTATCAAATTAGTGACAATTCACAGTGAAAACAATCCTAACATACTGACACATAAGCATTCATTTAAACGTAAACTTTACATGAAATGAATTAACATTCTAAATTGCACTATTGATTGCCTGATGATATTGGGTTGGCCAAAAGGTCTGTATGGTTTTTTCCATAAAATAAGACATTTTTTATTTTCACCAATAACTTTATTGATTTGGATATATTGAGTATGTTGGCTGTCTCTCACTATTGGCATCTAGTGGGTAGAGGCCAGGGGTGCTGCTAAACATCTTCCAATGCATAAGATAGCCTCACAGCAAAGAATTACTTGGCCAAAATGTCAGTAGTACCAAGAAACTTTGCAAATCACTTTTGACACGTTTGATCAGTCACAGCACCTTATCCATATACTGCACAAATCTTTTTTTATGCTTCAGTTGCATTTTTACCTTTCTCGAAATAATAAAGTATAATACACCAAAAATGTTGCATATCTTCCATCTTCAGTGTTAAAATGGCTGCACAAAAATTCTCCAATTTTGATTTTTTTTAAATGCATGCTGATATGACAGCTATCTTAATACAATCTAACAAAACTGTTCCAAATGAAGTTAAAGACAACTAAGCACTACGAGAGCCATCATATGGAAAAAACTAAACGAACTTTTTGGCCAACCCAGTAGAAACATTGTTCTGAGGACATTGGTATGAATGATTTGGATGGGTGGTGGATGTCCAAGAAATTCTGTAGTTTGAGCCTGGATTCACAAGATTTTCCCTAATCCTCTCCTTAAATTAATCTTTATTTCTTGAGCATACACTAGCTGGAGCCCTTAATCGTCACTGTGCCTGGGTTCATCGACCTGAGTGGCTTTGAGCTTGAGAAGGTTAGGAGAGCCATATATCCTGGCCCAGGAAAGCACATGCGTAGAATTGCACAAGCTCTTTCAGTGGGTTCACAAGCGCCCTGGAGCCTGCCCGTGGAACCCACCATGTCCAGAACCTTCTCTGTCTGTCTGATAGCTCTGACGGGTGCGTCCTGAGTCCCTCTGGCACATGGTCCACACCCTGGCCCAGCAGGCTGTCTGGGAATTCCTCATGCTCCCTTTTCGGTGGCCCAGTCTGCCCAGGATCCCAGCATCACTGCAGTGGCCATCTCTCCTGGGGCCAGTTCTGGCTTTGCCTTGCCTCTCTCCTCATTCCCACCCTGCAAAAGTCCTACTGGGGTGCCCCCAGCTTCTCCCTGTTCCTAAACTCCTTTTATGGTTAAACACCATCACTCAGCCCTCCCCCGCTCATCAGCCCAGGGCAGACAGCACGCTCCCTCCTTCAGACCTCACCTCCACACGTCACCTCCAGCACCCAGTGGGGGTATCCAAGGTCAAGGAGGGCCCATCCAGCTCAGAGGAGATGAGACCTGCTCCTCGCTCTTCAGCAAGGCAGGCCATCCTCTCAGGACCTCCCATCACCATCCCCCCTTGTATCTTTGCTTTAATTGTCATAGCAATCCTGTGTCGTTAAAGGTATTTTGGAGAAGAGAACCATTCACTTCTAATCGTACCTGCTAATATAATACACGCATTAGTCCTTTAATCTTCATCTTTATACATCCAAAGCTAGAACATCATTATAATGTTCAATATCAAATCATGTAATATGAAACATTTCATTCTTTTTTCACTTAATATTATAAATATTTTTCATGGTGTAACAAAGACATCACAGGTATAATCTCCAAGGACTGCAGACGCTCCCATTACTGTACATATCACAGTCTGCTTACCATTTTTGCTGTGTGGTTTTCATCTGTAAGTTCTATGAGAGCAAAGTCCCAATGGTATTTACAACTCTGCATTTTTAATAAATCTTCAACTATACCATTAATGTCTACTTTATAACACAGAAAAGACTCACTGGGAAATTACAGGTTCTGTACTGTTTCACTCTGTAGTAAGTCAAAATCGGTTTGGATGCACTAGCTCTCGAAGTCTGAGAAGCCCGGGGTGGGATGGGGTGTGTGGTAGAGCCCATCCTGTGCCGGAGAAAACTTCCCAAGGAGAGCTGAGGCACCGGAGCCTTCAAAATGCTCTGACAAGCAGCCAGGCGCTAAATCCCACCAGAAGACTTACATGCCAGAGAACACACACTCCTCTCTTCCTTCACAGATAAAGGGAAAACTTGGCAACAGAGGAGAAGTACACACACACACACACACACACACACACACACTCACATAGTTATTTTTCCAATTCTCTGTACATTCAATTCAATGAGCAATTATTAAGAACTGACCATATAGACCCCACTTAGGGATGGGACCCACAGATCATTCGAGGAGCTCACAGTCCAGTGGGGAAGAGGCAGAAACCAGCATCATGATTCACCCTGGACACTAACCCCGTCCTGAGCTCAAATGTGTGTGGACATTGCTTCAGTTTCATTCTGCCTAAACGCCGCTCCTTCATCAGGACTTTGAAGTTCTGGTGATATAGAAACATTTAAAAACCAAGAGGGCAGAGGCTTTCTTCTGGCATCCTCATCAGCAGGTGATTCAAACATGAGGGGTGGTATTTGTCCTCAGAAAACCAGGATGCAGCCCCTTCTACCAAAATATGGTTTAGGGGGCTGTTTATGCAAGATACAGATATGTATTATATACATATTTCATTTAGATACATTATATATGATATATCACTTATATAAGTATATGTATAAATATAAAAATCATTCCACTGAGCCATCAGAGTAGTAAAAAAATTGCAACGCAGCAAAATTGTATGTGGTCTGTTGGAATGACGCTAGTGGCACCTTCTACTTGCATTGCTTTTGAACTCTTGATTCACAGCACTTCCGACCTTATAGAACTGCCTGAAAGCCACAGGTGAGATGCAGTGGGACTGAGGGCTATGAAGCTCCAGCATGTTCTGTGGAAAGATCTGAGTCCTGCAAGAGAGGAAGGGAGGGAGCCCAGGGGAGTGGACTCCCACAGCCCCAAGGCACACCTGCATCTGCAGTCCCAGCAGGTCTGAGTGTCTGGTTTGGTGGTCACTCAAAGAGACATTTGGGACATCCGGGTGCTGGCATGGCCAGGAAGGAAGCAGCCACCCTGTGATGGCCCCTGTGTCTTTTCACTGTAGGTGGAGCTCGAACCAAGGGCCCAAACTGTCCTATCACTTCCCAGCTACAGGCTCTTGGCTCAGACAGCGATGGCTTCTTACCGGCTCAGCATTGAGTTATTGCTTGGCTCCCCACCTGCATCTGTAGTCAGGCTGGCATTTCTGCCTCCCAGCTGTTGCCGGCGCATTCCTCTCACTCCCATCTTTCCCTCGTTTGTATGGCCTCTTTATGCGCCGCCTTCTTCGCAGCACGGACATCCCCGGATGTTGGGACCGAAACAACCTGGGAAATAGAGGTCGTGGCTCGGATCCGCCCTGCCACCGACACAGGGGTGCTGTTCGCACTGGTGGGTGATGACCACACTGTCGCCCTCTCTGTGGCTCTGGTCGACTACCACTCTACCAAGAAACTCAAAAAACAGGTACCACGTGCTACGCTGCCCTGAGGGTGGAGGGGCTGCCCCAGCATCCAGCAAGTGGCCCTTGGGGCTGTCCACCCTCGGGGCCCCTTCCTGGGATCAGGTCATCCATTCCCTGCCTCGGGAAGTTCTGTCTCACGCTCACACATCTCAGCGGAGTCCAACCAGCCATGCTAGGCTTGGGGACATTGTCGACGTAGATCACCTGACGCAATTGGACGTCTATGTTGTTGTGGGCTGGGGTGGGCGGGGGGGCCAGGGCCTTCGAGGCAATTGTGCGGTGGGGTGGCTTTCCTGCCTACACAGTTGGCCAGCTCAGCAGTTTAGAACTATGTGAATTGATGGCTCACATTTAAGTCAGATGATTTCACTCACAAATTCAGATTTCCAGTTTCACTTGAAAAGTGAGATGTGCAAACACAGCCCAGACCCCCTGAGGACATCATGTCCTGGGTGACAGAGGGAGAGCTCTGAGTACAGCTGCTCCCAAACACGGCTTCCCCTGTCCACTTTAACGCAGTTCCCACCTCTCCCTACTGTCTACTGATACTAAGTCAACTACCTCTGGTCTTCAGGCTGACTGCTTTCTTAGAGAACAGCTGAGAGGCACTGGAAATAGGTTTTATTCTCTCACCATTGTCCAAAGTGTGAAAACATGGCTGACCCAGAGTGGGACGTGTTCGCCAAGTCAGCCTGTCCTCGAGGCCATCAAGCTCGTCTGCAGACCAGGGCTAGGCACTGACTGGTTCTGTTTACAGCAAGACTCACTCACCACCCCCCAAGGCATGGGTCCACTTTCACACCAGCCCCCCAGCATTTGGAATAAATAGCTGGGGTGGCCACCCAGGTGCAGAGAGTGAGGGAAGAGAGGGCAGCACTCCCTGTGCTGTACAGTTTTTCTGTTCTGGGTTATCAGAGTGTTTCCGGCCCATAGGTTTCTGTTCCATGTTGCCAGTGTGCTTCTAGCCTGTGTTGTCCGAGACGTGCGTGTTCTGCCCGGCAGGGGCACCCCAGGCTACAGGGCCTGCTGCCTGCCAGGGTGTTTATGTTGGCTGCCCGCCCTTGCTACTCTGCATCGGTGGCTTCCTGTGATTCCCCCTGGCCCGCAGGAGACCCCCACCCCCGAAGAGGGCCTGGGGCATGGGGGAGAGACCAGCAGGCTTCTAGCCCAGGACAGGGCACACAAAGGTGTAAGTTGTGGGGCTGTGCTCCCCCCACCCCTGCATGCTCAGGTGTGCTTCTCCCCTGCAGCTGGTCGTCTTGGCTGTGGAGAACGTCACCCTGGCCTTGATGGAGATCAAGGTCTGTGATGGCCAAGAGCATGTGGTGAGCATCTCCATGAAGAAAGGTGGAGCCACCCTGATGGTGGACGGCACCAAAGGCCAGAGTGAAGTGAGCCCTGCAGAGCTGCAGGAGAGGCTGGCCGTCCTCGAGAGGCACCTGCAGGGCTCTGTGCTCACCTTCATCGGGGGACTGCCAGGTAGGGCTCCCTGTGGGCTGCATGCTTGGGGGTGGGAGCACTGGCCGTTCTGACCATCCCCAACTCGCCTGCCCAAACCGAACCTGGGAGTTTCTATTCTGAGAAGCTCTGGCTCTTGTTTTAGAGCAAGAGAAGAAACAGGGAGGTTTATTGTTTAGCATAGTGATGCCTTCCTGTTCATCAGCACCAGCTTAGCAGCTTGTCAGTCGAGGCTGAGAACATGCTCCCAGGGAACAAGCATTGGTCTGAACCTGCCCCCACTCCACCACTCCGCGTCCTCCAGGAGCACCCAGCTGAGCATGCGACAGACAGTGGCTCTGGCCAAGGCGCAGGGGAAGGCCAGCTGACTGGGGGCCAGGCTGGAATCAGGCGCCCCAGGGTCTTGGGCCTGCCTTCCTCCCTGAGTCCTGGTGCCCGGCTGCCGCAGCAGTGAACAGAGCGACCACCAGCCCCTTCTGAGTCCGGGGGGCGGGCAGTGTGCAGCTGCCTCCTACAGATGGGCAGGACGTGATTCTCATCAGATGGAGGGTGTCCTTGTCCTTGTTGCCTGTCATGAGCTGAGTGATCAGGGTAAAGTGGTAAAAAGGCTGGCGAGGGCCAGGTGCTCATTTGTCATCCAGTCTCCGTTTGCCCCCGTGCTTGGCACAGGTTTTCACTGGCTTTAGGGAGCAGGATTTCTGCCTTGGCTACCAGATGCAAACTCTACTTAGTCTTAATAAACAAAGCTTTGAAGAGGGTGAGAGAGGGCTGGGAAGCCCTGTAGCATGAGTGATTCATTTGGTCCAAGAAGAAGATAATACTTATTTTACTGGTTTGACTATCCGTGTGCTTCCTTGGGGCGGTAAAGAGGGGTTTCTTGCCAAAGGCTGGCTGGCAAGTGTTTAGCGCTTGCCTGCGGGCATGTAGCCAAGTCAGGATGGTGCTGTGCTGCAAGCAACGGAAACAGTGCCCTTGAGGAGAAAGGCCCGGGACTGAGAGGGACCCACGGTGCTGGCGAGCACTGCGGCGGGGGATGCCGGGCGAGGGGGTGGGGGGCAGCCTAAGATGGTGTTTGTTTTTTCTCCCCTGGCCCAGATGTGCCGGTGACCTCAGTGCCAGTCACGGCTTTCTACCGCGGCTGCATGACGCTGGAGGTCAACCAGAAGATGCTGGACCTGGACGAGGCCGCCTACAAACACAGTGACATCACGTCACACTCCTGTCCCCCAGTCAAGCAGGCCACCCCCTAGAGTGACCACTGCTGCCAAACAAGAGGCCACACAGCACTCCTTACACTTTCTTTTCAAAACGAACAAGAAGGGAAGGTGTCAGGCACCCCAGCCCGCCCAGCGTGAGCAGCCCCCAAAACACTGAATTCTCGCAAGCTGCGTTTCTTTTGAGACCTTTCTTTATCTTGTAATATATGTGTAAATAGTTGAGAAGACTAATGTTAATGACCCAGAAACACACCCCGAGCCCCGAAGCGTCCTGCGTGAAGCTGGGCTCCAAGGAGCCAACCCGAGGGTGGAGGCGGGAGGTCCGCGCACGCCAGAGGGGACCCAGGAACATAATTCTCTGTTATTTTTATTACCAAATGCTTCTTTCTGACCTAAAAATATGGGAAAATAAAATATTTACAGAAACCTTTTTAATTCTGTGTCAGCAGTCTCTGCTCTTTGCACCTTTGATGCTCAACTGCTTGGGGTGAAAAGAGAGAAGAACTCATGCCCGGGCTCTGAGGCCGGGGGAGGCCTTGTGCACGAACGCCGCTCCTGTCCGCCCCGCGGCATCTCCCCAGTTACCGGTCCCGTGGAGCTGCCACTCTGTAGGAGAGCTGAGCCCACTTTACTCAAGAATAAAGCCCCTGGACGCGCCTCCTGAGGGGGCAGTGGTGGGTAAATGAAACAGCACAGGGCCGGCACCTGCTTGTTCTCCCTGCACAAGCCCTTCTCCCCTCAGCCTCACAGACCCTCCGAGAGGCTGTGAACAGCTGAAATGACACTTGGTCTGGCCCCAGGTGCTCTGGACTCAGGAGACCGGTCCCACTTTTAGCCGCTGGACCTCGGCTCCTGGTCTACAAGTGAGGGATGGAGCAGACAGTCCTCACCCTCTGACCCCAGGAGAGCGAGGGGCAATGACAACACCAGCTGTATGAAAACACACCCGGGGCGCTGGAAGCCAGCGGGCACGGCAGAGGTCACAGGCCTGCGGTCCTGACGGGGAGGCCAAGAGCCGAGGCGGGAAGTTACAGTGGGACACGTCCATTCTGTGCCTGGCGTGACTGTCGGGGAAGGGCCACGTGCCTCACAGTCTACGGTGCCATTGCGGCTGGCGTTCAAGCAGAGGGTCCCAGAGAAGGTTGCAGCATCTGGTGGGGGCTGTATTTGACAAGTGAATGGTTCCTCTAAGACGGAGATTCTTTTTATTTTTTTATTTTTTATTTATTTATTTTTTTATACCAAACCCCAGTGTGTACGGTCTGAGGCAGTTGGGCAGGTTTGGGTTGTGTTTACTTTCAGATTTTGTTCCTCAGGTGGCAGCAAAGTGTCCCATAGCATCATCATTTCAGCATTATGGGATTAATCTCTAAAAGCCACAGTCACCAAGCACAGAATTGGGCAATTGAGGTTTCATTGTCTTTGCGTCCTCCTGGCTGCCGAACATGTTTGTAAGTCACAACTTGACTCACAGATAAGCAGGTTCGGAAGGCAGGTTAGAAGCCTGAAGAATCCGCCCACAGCTAAACAAAGAGCACATGAAAGCAAAGTGGGTGCGGTGCCGCTGAAGGAGGAGAAAATCCCCTCTAGATCTCTGAAACAGGAATGGCCCCAAAGACTGCATCAGAGGCCCCTGCCTGGCTGGATTGGGAAGGTGGAATGACCCCAAATGCACCCATGTGGGAGGAAGCGATCCTCCCTTTCACCAGGCAGCTAGTACACCCTTGAAGGGCAGGGGTCCCCATGACACTGGGAAGAACTGGCGATCACAGGCACCTCCTGAGGGACCTCCTGAGCTAAGCTCACCTTGAAGATGACCAGACTGAGGCATGGGTGTTGTTGGGGTTCCTGCCGGCTCGAACCCACTTTTCGGCTGCCTGGCCCATCCTCCAACCCCGTGTGCATGTCAGGCACCACCCCCAGCTGGCCCATCATCAGGTGGCCCGGGGCAACTTGCACCGGCTGTGCGGCTGTGTCCTTTCTGTCATTGTTCTTCCTAAACTTCAGGCGGCATCTGGGTGGAAGTTTTGTAGACTCATGACTTCAGAAAACTAGTCTAAGAGGTTCTTCAGGTAATTTTCCACATTGGTGCATGGAAATAAAAGATGCCAGAAAAGCTTTGGTCCCTCATAGAGCATGCCAGGCAGTCCCTGAGTCGCTTCCATCAACTGTCCTCACCAAATGTCCA